CTGACTACGCCTATGTTCTAGATCAGAACTAGAGATGATCGATGATCGATGAAACGGCGAAGTAATATTTCACTACGGTAGACTTGAGCTTCTGATACCGCGGAGAAGGGGCTGAGTTGCAATGTTAAAACTCTAACGCCCAAACTAGTAAAAGAAAAATAAGTAATGTCTAAGTGAGAGTTTGAATCATACTTTTTTCTTTATTTCAATCCTTTATTTATGTGAGTTGGTTGAACTCGGAGTATTCAAAGATTAGATTAGACGTGGACTATTTCTTATTGAGCATTTGACCGTCTCAAATAAAAAAATATATAAAATATATTTAGCATAAGTGTATGTAAATAAATCAATAAAAATTAGAATAAAATATTATGTAAAACACAAATGAAGGACACAAATTAAAAGTTAAATGAATAAATTTTTTCTTGAAAATTATACATTGATTTCATTAAAAATTAAAAATTAATTTTTTATTGATCTTTTCAATACAAATTTGTATTTATTAATTTTTTCATTATTTTTTAATAGAGAAAAAGAAATATGTATTATAATATAAAATATATTTATAATGTCAGCTAATGAGAGAGATATATTCGATTAAAACATAATTTTAATTTAAATAAATTGATATAACATAATAATTATAAAATTTTTGATTATTGATTTATACGGTCGGGCATTGACTTTATTTGGATTTTATTAAAAGTTAGCATTATCCATTTTTCTTTTGAGGAGATTAAAATCTAAGTTATTGCATACCAATTTTTTTTCTTTATAATCTGAAAATCGGGATTATAAAATTTGCAATATTTTTTTTTACGAAAATAAAATTGCAACAAAAATGTTTATTGAGAAATAAAATTGCAACATTAATTTACAAGTTTGAGTATTTCGAAGAATACACAAGAGAGCTCCAAGAAGAAGCTTTTTATTTTTATTTTTGGAAGAACGCATTGCGAAACCGAAAATCAAATACTTCAAACGGAAAAAAGCATCAAGCAACCATGTATCATCCAACTAGAGGCGGCGTCCGTGGCGGTCGAGATCGTAAGTTTCATCTCTTTATTTTCTCCTTTAATTTCTCGTTGATTTCAATTTCTCCATCTACTCAATCGTTTCCTTTTTGCTAATTTTACGAATTCGTTCTTCAATTCGAGTTTCTCCTGATTCGTAATTTGTTTGATTCGACCATAAAACCCTAATGATTGCAGATTTATTGTTTAGAAGTTTAAACTTTAGGTTTTGATTTTAAATTATTTATGCATGATGTTGTTAAAGTTAGTATAAATCTTGAATTACTGTTTGATTTGTGTTTATGGATTTTACTTTTGATGAGCAGGTAAATTTTTTTTTCCTATTTTAACTTGGACAATATTTTCTATATGCATTTGCATTTATCATGGGTACAAATTGCATTTTCTGTAGGGGTGCTCACTTCCTTCACCTAAGTTTCCCCTTAGTGCTGTCTATATCCTAATCCTATCACCAGATTACAGTTTTACAACTTTTATATTCTTCACTTTGTTACTGTAGTTTAGGTTATGGCATAATATATCTGATAACATGGGACAATAACTGCAAAAGCATAACATACGCTTGGGTTGGACATATTTCGTATAAAAGATTATGGTTATATTTAGAGATGAATGTCTTCCAAAGTAAGTCTAGGTCCTTTTTTTTTACTTGAACTAAGAGGGCTAAAGAGACATAAACAAGTTAATTTATCCATCCTCTGTCCTGTTCCTAGGATGTCTTAAAAGGGTTAGAGGGACACATAAATATAAACAGTAGACTGTTGTTTGGCTATTCACATCCTAATAAGGTAGCGTCTTTTCTCTTTTAATTCAACAGGGAAAGACCTTTTCTGGTATACCAGGGATAAAAAGTCCCAGAGTGCAGAAATGGAGGCTGCAAAAGAAGAGATTAAAAGAATTAAGGAAGAGGAGGAACAGTCAATGAGGGAAGCTCTTGGTTTAGCTCCTAAGCGTGCTAATCGTCCTCAAGGTAACCGTCTTGATAAGCATGAATTTTCAGAACTAGTAAAGAGAGGGTCTACAACAGATAGGGGTGTTCGCGGTGCGGTTTTGAAGCAAAAAATCACCCGAACTGCAAGAGAAAAAACATGCAGTTTGGTTTGGTTTGGTTGGCTTTTAAAAATAAATCCGAACCAAACCAATGCGGTTTGAATTGGTTCGGTTGGTTCGGTTTTTTACAAAAAAATTATTAAGTCATACAAACAAATATAGAGGAAAATATAATTTTATGTTTAATTGTTCGTACATTACCATAAAAAAATTTATAATTGTCAAAATAAGTTTATAATTTGATACATAAAATTGCGTATTATAATTTTATCTAAATCTAAAGAATGATATAACAAGATTGCATTCTTAAATAAATATTATACAAAGAATACGATAAAATATATTTTGTGAAAATAGTATTTATAAATGAATAATATTTTATTTTTTTATGATTTGTAAATTAAAATGAATATAATACAAAGTATGATAAAATACACACATAATACATGTTTATTTCTCTAAAGAATTAAAGAAATATATATTGGTTAGTAAGATTTTATAACATAATGCGGTTTTGTTTGGTTTGGTTCGGTTTGTAAAATACAAACCGCAAACCGAACCGAACCGTGCGGTTCCGCGAGAAAATGACCCAAACACATCCGAACCAAATGCGGTTTTTTGCGGTTTCGGTTTGGTTCGGTTTGATTTTACGGTTTTCTATTGGGCCGGTTTGGTTTTGAGCACCCCTAACAGCAGAAGACTTAGGTGAAGGTCATGCTGAAGCAGCAAGAGTTCAAGGTGTTGGTTTTGCAAGGTAAAGTGACCACAATATTTTTATTTTCTAAAGTGATGGAGTGGATTTATTTTGTTTAATAGTTTATAGAATTTCCTGTTTCAATTGTTTCTTATTCTTAGCACATCATTTAAAGCATTTGGATTTACGAGCAACTTGGTGGGTTTGCCTGGGGTGACACGTGGGAAATAAGTATTATTGTTATAGTATTATTTGAGTCTGACCAGAGTTGTCAAAAGCGGCCGTAGCGGCCGCTATAGCGGCGCTCCGTAGCGGAGCGGTGGCCTCTCGCGCGCTAACATGGGGGCGGTAGCAGAGATGGGATATCGACCGCTTTTCATGACATAGCGGATCGCCCGTCGCGGGTTTTTCCCGGGCGAAGCGGATCTGCAGTTTTTCTTTTTCTTTTTTTAATTTTTTTTAAATTTTTTTTTAACAAAATTACTGTTTTGCCCTTATTATTTTATAAAATAATATGTAAAATAGTTTGTTATAACTCACGTTTCTTTCTTTCTGCCGTTCGTTTCTTTTTCTTCTCCTTGCCCTACCGTTCCGCTTCTCCTTTCTCCTTGCCCTACCGTTCCTCTCTCTGCCGTCTCCTACTGTTTCCAGCTTTTCTCTGCCCTCTCTTCTCCTTTCTCCTTGCCTGTTTCCAGCTTTTCTCTTCGCCGTTTCTCGTCGCCGTCTCTCTTCACCGTTTCCACCGTTTCCGTTTCACCTTTCCAGCAAGCGCTCTTCTTCTTCTACTTAGCCAATCAGCAAGGTACAACTCTGATTCAGCAAGGTACACTTCTTCTATTTACATGTGATACACTTTCCAGTTTCACCGTTTTTAGTTTTTTTTTTCTAAGCCAGCAAGGTACAATTGGAAAAGGGGTAGAGTTAATATACTCCAACCCCACTGTGCTGACTCAGCACAGCAATGACACATGCCCTTTCTATACTTATGCCATGTGTAAATGTACCCTTTCTATACTTATGCCATAATCCATATACTCTAATACTTCTTCACCTTTCCAGCAAGCCAGCAAGCCAGCAACGTACTGTTTCTACTTTTTCAAACGGAAAAAAGCATCAAGCAACCATGTATCATCCAACTAGAGGCGGCGTCCGTGGCGGCCGAGATCGTAAGTTTCATCTCTTTATTTTCTCCTTCAATTTCTCGTTGATTTCAATTTCTCCATCTACTCAATCGTTTCCTTTTTGCTAATTTTACGAATTCGTTCTTCAATTCGAGTTTGTCCTGATTCGTAATTTGTTTGATTCGACCATAAAACCCTAATGATTACAGATTTATTGTTTAGAAGTTTAAACTTTAGGTTTTGATTTTAAATTATTTATGTATGATATTGTTAAAGTTAGTATAAATCTTGAATTACTATTTGATTTGTGTTTATGGATTTTACTTTTGATGAGCAGAGTTTACTTGGGATGATGTAAAAGCTGATAAACACAGGGAGAACTATCTAGGTCATAGTGTCAAGGCCCCTGTTGGTAGATGGCAGAAAGGTAAAAGCTGATGAAAATGATTATTATTAAAAGAGGAACATATAAGTTGCATATGATTATTATTAAAAGAGGAAAATGATTATTATTAAAACTAATTAAAACTCACGAAACTCTAAGCCAAGAAAATGAGAGAATCAGGAGACAATAAAAAGAATAGTATTTTCTTACTGTTATAGAAACATAGCCAGTACCTTGAGCAACTTTTAAACTACAACCTCAACTTATAGTTCATTCTACTACACCTATAATTCCTGGATCACAGTCAACAACATAATAAACATCCATCAAGTGAAAGAAAACAATAAACAACTTAAAGAAAATGAAAGGATAAATTTGCAATCAAATATCAAATATATACCAAAATATAGACTAACACCTGCATAACCTATCTTTAAAACACCGACTAAATCAAAAACATGAATTAAATTTGAAAAAAAAAAGAAGTAAATTATAAAGACTAAAAGTGTTTGCAATTTGTACATAAATTAAAATAAATATATTTGAATTAGAATCAATAATATCATTTAATTGCAAAAAGTAAATTTTAAACATAAAATATTCTTAAATTGATGAGGTGGAGGAGAAAAAGAAAAGGATAATTTAGTGTTTTTCAGATCCATTAATTTTCTTATATCATAGATATTTTTCATTGTCACCGTGTCTCACTCCCTCTGATCTCTTTCTGATTTGTCACTCCAAGGTCTCGTTCCATCATTCTCACCCCTCTCTGTCGCGATCGGTAGCCTCCTAGGCGACCGCCGAACACTCTGCCGCCCAAAACTCTTCTCCACCGCACCGTCCAACATTCTCCTCCACCACATCAATCTTCCATCTCGCCGCGCCTTAACCAACCTCTTCTCCGGAATTAATCGGTCAGTACACCATTGCTAGGGTTTTAGCTGGGTTTTTATATTAGGGTTTTTGTCAAAAGGAATTTGGGTGTTCTTTTCTTATATGGATCCATATAATCAATTCATATGCTGCTTGCAATGATATATTACACTAATTAAGGGTTTGGATTTTTCTTCTGGGCTTAGAGGTGTCATCTCTGTGTGTAGGCTTACTTTGAGCTCCTGCCAATCTGCGAATTATTCTAGATTTCAGTCATGTATGTGTTGAATATCATTAGTATTGTAATGTCACTAATGAACATGACTGCATGTTTTGTTTAGGTTTTTATCTGTTTCAACTTTCGAGCCACGAGGTTAATTCTCCGTCCTTTTCATTGTTTAGGTTTCAATAACTAAATCTAGCTTATTGATTTAATTTATATATGTCAGTTTACTAAATATGAAATATCAAATCTTTTTGACATATAGATATACAGAGTATTGCTTTTCAAGGTCATTTAGGGGTGGGATTCTATTCTGTGATGTTTGTTTTTTACTTTCATTGATTTTGTAATGGTTAATTTGTAGCTTCTCCATCTAATTATTTGAATTGAAACTGAAATTTTATTGTCGGATGAGGGCTAGTTAAGTTCACCAATTGAATCATGAAGTGTCTGAATAACTGTTGGATAGGTTTCTGTTTCTTATTTCCAAAGAATGGTTAAGTGTTTGATTACTCTCTTGTATGAGTTGTGTATGTTATCATCATGTGAATTTAGAGAGCTGCATTTTAGGTGTTTTATTTGACACTTATATGTATGAAATTGCATTTCTTTGTAATGTGGATCAGAATTACGTGCTTTGGGTTATGAACCTCTTTATTTTTGAGATTGTGTTTCTGTGGCAGATATGATATCACACTGAATAGTGCCATTCTTTGATGCTTACCTGTTTTCTAGGTTTATAACTTTGGAGCTGGTTTTTCATGTTAGGATTATTGGTTGCACATTTTGGCATTTGAGTTTTGTATACAACACTCACTTCTTTTTATTGATTGGAAACTTGGGTTTGAATTACACACATGTTTGGTTCCGCGGTGTCGAAAATTGATTTTAGTTAAAAGTGAGTGGAATGCAATTTTAATTAACTAATGCGTGGTTCATATTATATGATTTTTTAAACCTTTTTGTATATGGTTCTATTTTTGTTGGTTTTAAGGTTTGAGGTTGTTACTGTCTCGAAGTAACACTTCCTCTTTGTTAGTAAAAGATTAGAATAGAAGAAAAATGCTAAGGAGAAGGCTTTCTGTTCTCTCGACTTCAATCATCCGAAGCTCGATTCACAACAAATCCGCTCTCGGATACCCATCCATCCAATTTCATCCCTTGCTCCCTTCTCACTCTGCCAACATTGGTGCTACATTTATTCCCAACGCACACCCAAATTTTCATGGTCTTAGAGCTTATAGTCTTCTGTGCTTGAATGATCTAAGAGGTAACGTTCCCCGAAAACAGAAGACAAGGAAAGGTCGTGGTATTGGGTCTGGAAAGGGCAAGACTGCTGGGAGGGGTCACAAGGGCCAGAGAGCCAGAAAAGGTTCAAAATTGGGGTTTGAAGGAGGCCAAACCCCTCTTCGTCGTAGGATGCCTAAACGTGGCTTCAAGAACCCATTTAGACTCAGCACAACAATGACACATGCCCTTTCTATACTTATGCCATGTGTAAATGTACCCTTTCTATACTTATGCCATAATCCATATATTCTTCTGCCATCTACCAACAGGGGCCTTGACATTATGACCTAGATAGTTCTCCCTGTGTTTATCAGCTTTTACATCATCCCAAGTAAACTCTGCTCATCAAAAGTAAAATCCATAAACACAAATCAAACAGTAATTCAAGATTTATACTAACTTTAACAACATCATACATAAATAATTTAAAATCAAAACCTAAAGTTTAAACTTCTAAACAATAAATCTGTAATCATTAGGGTTTTATGGTCGAATCAAACAAATTACAAATCAGGAGAAACTCGAATTGAAGAACGAATTCGTAAAATTAGCAAAAAGGAAACGATTGAGTAGATGGAGAAATTGAAATCAACGAGAAATTGAAGGAGAAAATAAAGAGATGAAACTTACGATCTCGGCCGCCACGGACGCCGCCTCTAGTTGGATGATACATGGTTGCTTGATGCTTTTTTTCGTTTGAAAAAAAAGTAGAAACAATACGTTGCTGGCTTGCTGGAAAGGTGAAGAAGTATTAGAGTATATGGATTATAGCATAAGTATAGAAATGGTACATTTACACATGGCATAAGTATAGAAAGGGCATGTGTCATTGCTGTGCTGAGTCAGCACAGTGGGGTTGGAGTATATTAACTCTACCCCCTTTCCAATTGTACCTTGCTGGCTTAGAAAAAAAAAACTAGAAACGGTGAAACTGGAAAGTGTATCACATGTAAATAGAAGAAGTGTACCTTGCTGAATCAGAGTTGTACCTTGCTGATTGGCTAAGTAGAAGAAGAAGAGCGCTTGCTGGAAAGGTGAAACGGAAACGGTGGAAACGGTGAAGAGAGACGGCGACGAGAAACGACGAAGAGAAAAGCTGGAAACAGGCAAGGAGAAAGGAGAAGAGACGACAGAGAAAAGCTGGAAACAGTAGGAGACGGCAGAGAGAGGAACGGCAGGGCAAGGAGAAAGGAGAAGCGGAACGGTAGGGCAAGGAGAAGAAAAAGAAACGAACGGCAGAAAGAAAGAAACGTGAGTTATAACAAACTATTTTACATATTATTTTATAAAATAATAAGGGCAAAACAATAATTTTGTTAAAAAAATTAAAAAAAAAAAAGAAAAACTGCAGATCCGCTCCGCCCGGGAAAAACCCGCGACGGGCGATCCGCTATGTCATGAAAAGCGGCCGCTATCCCATCTCCGCTACCGCCCCCATGTTAGCGCGCGGGAGGCCACCGCTCCGCTACGGAGCGCCGCTATAGCGGCCGCTACGGCCGCTTTTGACAACTCTGCTTTGTATAAAATGATCTCGTCTGTAGCTTGAGTGAATCCCCCGGTCTATTCAGACTATCTTGTAGGCTCACATCCAATCGTTGGGCTTGGCCGATTTGTTCTCTCTCTTACGTTGCACAAGATGTTTAACGAACTCAGTAATACTCCACCTAGGGTCCATGTGATCAGATTAAGATAGATGACAAATACTACATTTTATTCCTATTCATTAGTTAGTTAAAATTGGTGGTTTACATTTGTGATTTATGATTAGTCACTACTTACCATTGTTTGAGCTGTAAAATTAATTTTTCGGGTCTGTACCAAATAAAATTGACAACTTAGCTATACATATATACTAATGGTCTTTGATTAAATGATCCCTAGATTTGTTTCAAAATTTCTTCTATAGGTCATTCGTACATCTTAGCTATACATATATACTAAGGATTTCTGATTGGTTTATGCTTTTATTAGGACTCTTATCATGGACAATTTACGCCAACAGAAAATACAAAAGTATGAAGAATTTGTGGATAAACGCTTGAAACCTGATCTTCTTCATGCTACCGCTCAGAGGTAGTGTTTACTTCGAAGGTTTTATTCTTGGTTGTTGCAAATAATGTGTAATGCCCTAAATTTGAACGCTCTTCCTCTATTATCTTCAAGTCTTTCTAGTTCTAGTTAAAAATGCACGAGGCCTCTGAGTACATAAACTTATATCTGAGATCACAAATAATGCACTTGCAAAATGGATTAAAATAAAGCATTTCTACATTGCATGGTTGCTTTGTTTATTTCATGAGTTTCAGAGTCACATATACTTATTTTTCTCATTTGTTTGTTACAGGGACATGGTCTTTGAACAGCAGAAAATTTTGTATCCTTTTTCACTTTTTTTGCATACTACTAGGATAAATTATTATCACCATCAAAATGACATTTTTTAACGCAGTCAATTTTGTATCATCCATTTCCCATAAAATCCACAGTACCACGTGTAAATTATACTTGTAAGCTGAGTTTGGAGACTAGCAAAATTGAATTAGTACAAATTCAATGATGCATTCAGTGAAGTACTATTGTTCTGTCTGAATACACTTGACTTGTTCACTCAGTGCTGATTTGCGAAGAAACATTGAAAACCTAGAGAAGAATAGCGTAACCAGTCTGAGAACTATGGTCAATCTTGGGTCTGAAGTGTACGTGCAAGCAGAAGTGTAAGTCATCAAACATTTCAGCTTTCACCTTTCTTCACATGCGTTTTAGCCACCTGATTTGATAATTGGTGGCATTATTTCTTTTTTTTTTTTTTAATTTCACATGCTCTTGATTATTTATGAATTTTGTAAGGTACATTCGTATTTTATCACCAATCCATGTTATCAAACTTATTTTTCTTTCATTTATGGTATATGATCTTTATAACCATGTCCATCAGTCATCGCCATATAAGATTTGTGCTATGTTGCCCAATTTGTGTCTAGACACTTCCCGCTTCCAATCTAGGGTACAATCAATGCTTGGAAGTTTAAGCAGGAAACCTTCGGCAAAGTGCTAAACCTCTCATCAGCAATGCTAGTGTTTTTTATTTGTGCTAAACCTCTCTTTTTTGTCCTCAGTCCATGGAAATGCACTTTCTTTATTTGGTTTTTTTATATATTTGATTGAAACTTTACAGGCCCAGTACACAACACATATTTGTGGACATAGGTATGGGATTCCATGTGGAGTTTACTTGGTCCGAAGCTTTAAACTTCATAGAGAAAAGGGAAGAAACGATAGCCAGGTATAATTTTTTTGGTTTAACATATATTGTCTTATTGAAACTGCAAAAAATAATCTAGCACGACAGAGAGTGTTTGAGATTTCTTAAATGTGAAATGTTGGTTAACTTGCTCCAGTCTGTTAAAATACACGATATATATATAGTGAACTAACTAAAAATAACTGAGTTAGTTGGTCTAACTACCATAACAGAAAAATACTGTATTTCCCGTACACAACCGACAAGTGCACTTGCCACTAAGCTGCTTGCACATAGAATCAGATCAGCCCACTGTTCCTAAGCAGGAACATTAACTACTGTGAGCTGCTTACTAAGCTCTTTTCCTTGAACAAAGAAGAAATTCAGTTCCATATGCTTAGCTGGGCATGCAAAACCGGATTATGAGCCAAGATAATGGCAATCTAATTATCACAAAACACTGAGACTAGGTACGGTGTATGTATCCAAGTCTGCTTCCATGCTAGAACTTGCCACAACTGATAATTTACCGGACCATCAGATTAGGCCCAATGTAGTAGCAGCTCTTGATGTGGATCTTGGCTATGTTGTCAATAGTGGTCCGTATCTCCGTGATAGCAGCGGAGCAAAAGACATTCACCACACGCGTGACGGAGTGTCGCAAAAGGGAGTAGGGGCCGTTGCAACTGCCTCTGTGGAGCTTTTCACCTTCAAGACAGTTACGCAGATGCAAAAAAAGAAATGGAGTAAAATTCCAAAATACCCAAATATAACCTTTTCTCTTCTACTGCTGCAAGTTTCCTTCTCTGCTCTGTCGTGCAACGAACCACTGTCCCTAGGCTCCATGCTGTGAAAATATGAAAAATCAGTCGAAGTAGAAATGAACTTATAGCTTATTTTGCTAGCTTATAATTTATTTTTCAGACGCCATTTCAAATAGCATTTTAGCTTATAGCTTATCATTTTTCCTTCGTTTTTTATCGTGATTATTTTAACAAAAACCAACTTTTATCCTTTATATTTTATTTAAATTTAAAATGAAATAATTATGTATTAAATATCTTTTATGTCATTTTACATTTATAAGTTAGTTGAACCGCTAATTTTACCAAATACTTCAATTAGCTTATCAACTATCAGTCTCAACCATCAGCTATAAATTATAAACTATAAATTATCAGTCATCAGTCATAAGTTATAAGCTAACTTATCAGTCAATCGCTATTTTTACCAAACATGTTAGAAACGTAGCAACAGTAGGAAGGAAGAAGAAAGAGAAAGAAAGGAAGAGAGAGAAAGTAGATCTGAAACTCTAACTGAATTGTATATTATAATAGAGGACAAGACTGAGTTATATACTCAGCACAATGATATTACAATTTTACCCTTTCTACTATTGAAGTATATATTCTAATAGCTCCCCTAGAAACCCTAGGTCACCCCTGATCCAGAGTTATCCTGTCCCGGACCTGCAGCTTGCTTTTTAGTTGCAGGAACTTGAGAGATGAGAGGGGCTTGATGAGTAAATCTGCATATTGATCAAACCCAGGAATGTGCTTGACTATCAAGCTCTTGTTCAACACTTTTTCCCGTAAGAAAAAGATGTCTAGTTCCATATGCTTGGTCCTAGCATGTAGAATAGAATTGTGTGACAATGACACAGTGTTGAGATTGTCACACAGCAAGACAGGTGTAGTAAACGGCATCTTGAGCTCAGTAAGCAGTGACTGTATCCACAATACTTCTGCAGCAGAATTAGCAAGGCTCCTGTACTCTGCCTCTATACTAGACCTTGCAACTAAGGTCTGTTTCTTGGACCACCAAGAAACAAGATTAGGTCCAAGAAAAATGCAGGAACCTGAGATGGATTTTCTATCATCAGGATCTGCTCCCCAGTCAGCATCAGAAAATGCTGTAATGGAAAGAGGAACTTGAGTGCTAGCAGCCTGCAGATGCAGTCCATGACAGAGAGTCCCTTTAAGGTACCTGAGAATCCTTTTAACAGCAGCCCAGTGGCTTTCAAGAGGATTAGACAGAAATTGGCAAGCTTTGTTGACTGCATAACTGATCTCAGGCCTAGTAATCATGGCATACTGCAATGCCCCAACAACTGACCTATGGAAAGTAGGATCCTGCACCACATCTGTGCCATGTTTGGTAAGCTTAAGACTAGCTATCATGGGGGTAGGCACACCATTAGCCTCACTAAGATTGGACTTGACCAGGAGATCATTTAGATATTTTGTTTGAGACAAAAACAGAGATCCATCCTTTAAGTGAGATACCTCAATACCCAGAAAGTACTCCAATTCGCCTAGCTGTTTAAGTGCAAACTGAGCATGCAGTTTATTGACCAGTTCCTGAATATGCTGTGCATAATTTCCAGTTACAATTATATCATCCACATAAACTAACATAATGATAGTGTATGAGGGTGTGACAAGGGTAAAAAGAGATGGATCACATCTGCTAGAGGAAAAACCAAACCCCTTTAGGGCTGAAGTTAGTTTCTCAAACCAGGCCTTAGGCACCTGTTTAAGCCCATAGACGACTTTGTTCAGTTTGCAAACAAGAGAGGCATCACTGGAAACTTCAAAGCCAGAAGGCTGCAGCATATACACTTCCTCCTCAAGTGTGCCATTAAGGAAGGCATTATTCACATCCAATTGTGTGATATGCCACCTCTTGGAGATAGCTATAGTGAGCACGATTCTAACAGCTACAGGCTTAACCACAGGTGAGAATGTCTCAGTAAAATCAAAGCCCTGTTGCTGGTGGAAACCCTTGGCAACTAGTCTTGCTTTGTACTTGTTAAGGGTTCCATCAGGGTTTTGTTTTACCTTGAACACCCATTTGTTCCCTATGGCCTTCCTATGAGGAGGCAAACTGGTTAAAGTCCAGGTGTTGTTTTTCAAGAGAGCATGATATTCATCAGTCATAGCAACTTTCCAATGGGGATCCTTTAGGGAAGCTTTATAAGACGTGGGCTCCAGTTCAATGAGAAGAAGGGTGGGATGTTGCCTGGGTTGTACTATGCCATTCTTCCTCCTAGTGGTCATAGGATGCACATTGTTAGGGTGTAAAGGTGGCAAAGAAGAATTATCTGCAGGGACATCAGAAGCAGACAAATCAGATGCAGAGCCAGAGACAGAGGGCTCAGATATAGATGCTAGTGAGTTAGAACTGGAGCTGACTGAAGTGTTGTTGTTGGTCTGAGCAGGTGATATGGGACTAGAAAGAGAAGCTGGCTCAGGGCTGATAGAAACTGAGGGATGAAGACTGCTGGGAACTTGATGGAAGTGAGGAGGCTGTGAGATTTGAGAGAGACTGATGGGAAATGGTGGAGATAGAGGGATAGAAGAAACAGAAGGAGCTTCAGTAGTCACACTCTTGGCATAGGGAAACCTAGCTTCATTAAACACTACATCTTTAGAAATGTAGATTCTACCATTGGAAGTTAGGCACTTGTACCCTTTGTGATTGGAAGAATATCCCAGGAAAGTGCATTCTTGTGAGTGAAAATTGAATTTATTGGGAGAATAAGGTCTGAGGTAAGGGTAGCAGGCACACCCGAACACCTTGAGAAACCTGTAATCAGGGGCACACCCATACAACATGAAATAGGGAGATTTCATGGCTAGAAGAGGAGTGAGCATTCTGTTGATTAGATAAGTGGCAGTGAGGCAGGCATGATCCCAGAATTGCAAGGGAAGACTTGCTTGAGACAACAAAGTCAGCCCTGTTTCAACAACATGCCTGTGCTTCCTTTCCACAGTGCCATTTTGATGATGGGTGTGAGGGCAAGCAAGTCTGTGTGCAATGCCCTTGGTGAGAAATAACTTGGTGAGAGACTGAAACTCTCCTCCACCATCAGTCTGAATTGATTTTACAGCAGTTCTGAATTGTACCTCTACAGCAGTGATGAAGTGTGTGATGGTGTGCAATACATCAGACTTTAACTTGAGAGGAAACACCCATGTATATTTAGAAAAAGCATCTACACAAGTCAGCAAGTATTTATATCCACATGTTGAAGTCATAGGAGTTGGACCCCATACATCTAAAAAGAGTAAATCAAAAGATTGAGTATAAGTTGTGTGTGAAAGTGTACTAGGCAGCCTATGCACTTTTCCTAGGCAGCAGGGAACACAGAAATCCAAGGGAGATTTGTGTGGCACCGGAACATTGAGAGATTGCAGAGTTGACTTGAGCACTTCATGGTGAGGATGCCCCAGCCTATTGTGCCATAAGTTGTAAGTAGATGCTGAAGTAGACATTGAACCGCCTGTGATATGATTTATTGAAGGCAAGGGTTGGAAAGGATCAAAGGAGTAAAGACCATCTTTATTCACCTCACCCTGCAACAACACTGCATTGGCCTGTGTTTTGACAAAACACCTGTCAGCATGGAACTCAAAATAAACACAGTTATCCTTGGCAAACTTGCTGACAGACATGAGATTCTTAGTGATAGCTGGCACAAGTAATAGGTGATTGAGTGTAAGAGTGGTGTGTGTGTGCAGAGGTGAGACAAAGGTAGTTGAGCCAATAGAAGTTATAGGGAGTCCTTGCCCATTTCCAAGCAAGACCTGATCAGTACCAGGGAGTGTCATGCTTTCAGACATATAGGCAGCATTGTTGGTAACATGGTGAGTTGCTCCTGAATCAGGGTATCAAACTTGAGAAAGTTGACCAACAGCAGCTGCAGTCGCATCTGTACCTGTACCAGTGAAATAGGCTTGTGGTTGTTGTGCTGGTTTTGCAGGAAACCCTGGTGGTGGTCCTCTTAGAGCTGGTGTAAGCCACTGATTAGGAGTAGGAGCAGTCCACTGTGATGGAGCAGGCATAGGCATAGCTGGAGCACTTTGAGTCCACTGATTCCAGTTCTGATACTGAGGGTGTGACACCTGAGCTTGTGACCACATGTTAGGCATCATTGCCGTGTGCCTGTGATAGCACACACTAGCATCATGTCCCATCTTTTGACAAATCTGACACTGCACCTTGTATCGTCCACCAGAACAGCCACCTCTGCCCCTGTAGGCGCCACGTCCACCACGAAAATCTCCACGTGAATCACCATAGCCAGTCACAGGACCATATGTAGCTTGAACTGAAGCATCTTGAGCAGTCTGTGTCGCATTTGCAGTCACAGGAGGTGTAGCCTGAGCTACGTTGACAGAAATAGGTTCAGCAACCACACTCTTAGTCTTCTCTAGTTTCGCTTCATGAGAAAGAAGCATAGATTCAGCTTCAATGATAGGACAGAGATGAGGCCTGTACTGGATGATTGAAGCTAGGGCATTGTACTCCTCTGGTAAACCATCAAGAATGGCTTCAATTTGATCACGATGCGAAATCGGATCGTCAATTGACTCAAGCACGTCCACAATTCGTTGAATACGAGCAAGATACTCTGTAACCGTTTTCTCCCCTTTCGTAATCGATTTGAGCTCCGAACGAAGTTGGCGCGACTTCGCATTTGTGTGCGCGAACATGTATTTGTGAATCTCATCCCAAATCTGATGAGAATGCACACAACGAACAACGTGAGGAAGAACAGAGTCAGACAAGGTGGTGAGAAGCCACGTGAACAAGAGCGAGTCCTGTTGCTCCCAAGAGACATACGCTGGATTTTCTGCATCGTTCTCACGATCTGCTTCAGTGAGATAGCGTGGAGGAACGATAGGGCTCACCAGAAGATGATGAAGTTTGTGCGTTCTGATGATCCCTTCGACTTGTTGTTTCCACGAACGGAAGTTATTCTCATCAAGCTTCAGAGTAATTTGTTGTGCAAACGTCTTGAACGCGTTCTTCACGTTGAGCGCCGCCGTCGCCGGCGTTGCACCGGTCGTGTTCTCAGACTCACCATCGGAAGCCATGGCCAAGGATCGAGCTTAAGCTCTGGATATCATGTTAGAAACGTAGCAACAGTAGAAAGGAAGAAGAAAGAGAAAGAAAGGAAGAGAGAGAAAGTAGATCTGAAACTCTAACTAAATTGTATATTATAATAGAGGACAAGACTGAGTTATATACTCAGCACAATGATATTACAATTTTACCCTTTCTACTATTGAAGTATATATTCTAATAAAACAAACCCTTAATCAGAAAAAAACAGTATTTTTTCCAAACAAACCCTTAACACTGGTACAATACATCTTATGTGCAGTGAACTAAACTAACTGTTGCTTGGTGTAACTACTGTATCAGAAAAAGTATACTATCTGAGTTACTATATCAGAAAAAATATACTATCAGAGATACTACTGTATCAGAAAAATACAGTAACAGAGAAACTACTGTTCTCATACAGTAATAAGCTCGTGGTCCAAGATCCTTATGTTTCTTGAGTCCAACATATTCTGTAAAATTAACCACCACGAATTTGATTCATCCATTTTTTAACTTGTAAAAATTCACAGACGTACTTTGTTTTCTTACTTATACTATTGTAAAGTTCTGTGGTCTGTTTGGTAGGCGTATGTATATCAGATTCTAGACTTTCATTTGGGATTCTTATCTTGCATGTGCAGAAGGCAATGGCATGACAATTTTTGTATTTTTCTTTCCTATTTATCTGTCCTCCCTTCCATAGTATGATTTGTACGGACCATGATTGGTTGCTGTCAATAAATTGACGCAGTCACAGTCATAGATAATAGCCGTTCGATTTAAAGCAGACGATCAAAATTTAATCTCAGTATTTTTAATTATTTAGTAAATATTCCATCCGTTTTAAAATGATTGCCGTTTAAGGTTTTTATACACAAATTAAGGAATGTAATGATGTTGTCATAAGATATTACATTTTTATAAAATTAACCCTATTAATGTATTGAAAGAAGTGTAGAGAGTAAAAAGTAAATGACACAAATGAAAAAATAGTAATCATTATTATATTGAAAAATGAAAATGACATTTATTTTGAAACAAAATTTATTTACTAAAACGATAGTCATTTTGAAACGGTTTGAGCTATTAGATTGAGATCAGACAGTCAACAATGCCCCTGAATGCGTGACTGCCGGATAGTGCTGACAGCAGGGAATCCTGTTTCGATTTGGACATGTTTGGGCCGAAAAGTCAAATCATTGCTGAGTTATATCATCTCAACAGCTCAAGAATAGGACTTCCTCACTCAAAATAATTGTCTCTTTAGCTTAAAAAATTTGTTACAAAATAAGTGTCGTTTTACTTTTCTAATGTAATATTAATTGATTTTTATCATTTTTATTCCTAATTAATTATGTCTGCACTACTCTAAAGACATTAACTTTCACTTTGCTTTTATGACAATGTAAAAGTAATCAATAATCATTAAAAACAATTTTGTAAATGTGTTATATTTATTAATTCACTCATTATTTTTCTTAATCTGCGTGCCACAACCTTAAAAAAAATTTATTTTGGGACGGAGGGAGTAGATAGTTTTGAAAGCTTGACTAACAAATTATAAATACTATGTGTTTAGGCATTTGGGGCAATGATTTTGAGATGGAACAGTAATTGAATCATTGAACTCACTAGGTGACAATTCATACGAGCAAGTAATATACTCAAGTTTAATTGCAGCTTAAATACAGATTTGGTCCCTCTATTTTTTCTCATTATCAAATTTGTTCGTCATGTCATCAACTGAGTTGCCACTTAAGCATCCCACTTGTCATATCATCAAAATTTCCCCAAAATACAAAGGTGGAGAACAAAATCAGAGAATTAAAAAATTGAGGGACCAAAATAGTGCACTAGTGCGATAAGACTCAATTGTTTGTTGTAGTTGTTGTTGTAGGCTTTAAGCCTTATATTTATATTACAACGTTGGGACTTATTTCAATTAGGCGGGGATGCTATATGCTTATGTCGACGGAATAAAATCTTGCAGTGTATTTTTAATCACTCTAATTATTAGTTCAAAGCATAAGATATTAATAAGATATTAACTTTAGAATGATACACGGAATTTTGTTTTTGAATGGGAATTTATTTAGCCCCCGCAATATAAAGTTTTTGGGTCCGTTCCTGGCCGCACTGCTATCCTAGATTAACAACATAGCTTTCGGCAACTCTTATGCCAATCTTTGGACAAATTTATCTTTGGCCTTCTATTATCAACTCTACTAAAATGGTTGATTAATTTCCATTTTATTGTTGAAAACATTGTTACAAATTCATACTTATGAATCACTTTTGTATTGCAGGCAGATAGAGGAGTACACTAAATTAATTGCTTCAATCAAAGCTCAAATTAAGCTGGTACATTCACTCTGTTTTCTTCATTTAATTGAATCCCTGATGCTTGCTGCTTGTTCTCCTTTTGTGCAAGGGATGCTGCTTGTTAAATTTTACAGAGTTTAGAGAACTTTCCATTGTCTCAATGCAGGTTTGCGAAGGGATTCGAGAATTACTTGAATTTCCAGCAGAGAAACCCTCGCCACAACAGATATTTTGATTATTTTAGAATTTGTCACCACAACGGCGAAGAAGAAATGCAATTATGTTAAAATTATTTTAGATATTTATCCTTTTTGAAAGATTGCATCTTTCTTTGTTCTTAGTTGTCTTTGTAATTAATTTTTGTTCATGTAGTTTAGTATTTTGATGACCAAACGTGAACATAAACATTAACCAAACACCCAAGTCCTTACTTCTATGATTTTCTCTAGTTAAAATTTGAAAATTAATTCATACTTATTATTTTTGGTAAAAAAAAGTACAAATGGGTCTATTTACTACTTTTAGCTTTATTTTAATTTTTATTTTATAGAAGTAACTACACTCTGTTTTGTCCTCCTCAAAACTATATTGTACTCTATTTATTATAATAGAATAACATTATTCTTGCCTTATCAAATAATGGCAAAATAGGAGACAACTATGTACTTTCAATGCCTGGCCATCTTGCTCTTTCTTCCATAGAGTCCAGTTACTATGCATGTGTAAGCAAAGAATATACCAAAAATGCATGAGTAAGAAATATAAAAAGAAAGACACTGTTTTATGAATAAATTTTTTTGGTCTAGAGTTTTATAAATAATTATATTTGAAAGAAAATAGCAGCACATATGTTGAGGGAGTGTATTATTGATTACTAATAAAATACTGTTTTGTTGGTGTACAATATGGTTTTTGATGTGATGGTCTCAATTATAGATATATAGATGAAAAGCAATAAGAATAAAAGATACCAAGTGAATCTCATCTACTATACAGTAGAATCCAGCCTAAGTTACCACAAGATTCCACAAGCAAGAAAGTCCAACTCACACTAGCTAGCTACGTGCCAACCATCACATGATTGTGCCAACGTAAATCATGGAAGAGCTTCAGTTTACATTCATTGAAATTGAATTATCAAAGAAATATAGACTTTCAGTTAAAGGTGACAAGGAAGCAACACTAGTTCAAAATAAAGATGCTGGAGTATAAACTATCGGTTATTAGTATGAAAGAAAAGCTAGTAGTAGTAATTATAGGATGGGATTGAATTGATGGAACTTGTATATATTAATGCAAATCCATACATTACAGCAAATAAAGGCAATGTCACATCTTAACTTGTCCCATTGGTTCAGTATTCAGTTGATGCCATCATGATTGGTGATTGATCAAAAGGTTGTCGCCTCTTTCACGAGTTGTTGTGTTGTGGTGAATTTCATTAATGATATGGTGTATACAATGAGTTCTTGGGGTAAAATAATCATACATAAGATATAGACACATATTCTACATTTTGAGAGTGAAAAAATATAATTCATTGGATGAATTTTTTATACTACTAAGAACCCTCTTTCCAATTTTTTAATTCAGATATCAGGCTTTATAAACAAACTCTCAAATTGCATATTTATGTAAGTTTTAGTTCATAATAAATCATACAAATTCAATTATGTTTTAGGGATTTGTCTAAAGATTGAAATTCAAAATCATCTCATTTTTATCATATACGAAGAAGATACAAGCAGACATGTCTTAAGACTATCTCTCAAGATTGAAATTCAAATTCATTCCATTTTTACCATGTACGAAGAGATACAAATAGGCCGGTCCCATTCAAATACATCAAAATGTATTTAGTTTCATGTAAATACCAAACAAACATTACTTCCATGAAACATAGTAAGATAAAAATTAAAATCCTAAAAAATGTCTCACCACTTAAATTTACAGGTGGTTCCACCTTAATATTTTTTTGATTTGATTCTCTTTCAATTTTATTTTATACTATCCAAAAAATTATCTGGTCTAACTTCTTTTATGAAATGAAATGTCCATTCAGAAGATGTGCGAGATACAAGAAATCATAATTTCAAATAAATTTGAATGGACATCTCAAATCGAATATTTCTATATATGAGCGAGAATTCTTTGCTAAAGTCCCAAATCAAATATTTCTAAGTCGGGTTAGATAGTTCTATTAAAATTTCAATTTTTAGGATCGACTCTCACAACTCAAGTAAAAAGGGTTGAAGTCAACATCAACGCAAAAGAGTTTGGGAAAATATTTGAAGTTACATGTCCAACAAGTCTCCCTCTTCATCTGACACATTGTTTCTTCACTCTTCATCGCATGTGTACAACATAAAGAAAGATGTCAAAAGAGAAATAATTCAAGAAGATAATCAAAGAAAACAAGATTTCTATGAAACTTATCAAAAATGGTACTCTTCTCTTTCTCTAATTTGGCGTCTATCAGTCAACGAGTCTAAATGAACTTTTCAATTGCTTCCTTTATGTTCTGTTGGTCGAAAAAATGCCACAAACGTAGCCAAACTCATTGCAAAAGACCACCAAATGGTTCTTCTAATATAATTCTTCCTAAGACTGGTCATCCTTCTTGTAAACATAAGATTTCCCTCTCTTCAAGAAGTAAATATGGCTATTGTATGTATGGAACGAATCTGTGCACACAGGAGGATGACCAAACTCTAATTTGTAAATCTTTGTATGAACTTCTTAGTTGAGAGGAGTAATCAGGAAGAACCGACCCTTGAAATTTTTTACAGTGTCAGAGTAAGTCTCGAAGTACTTAATGTTCTGCCTCAAGGAAAATAAGCTTGACTCATTGCATAATTTGAGTTATTTTGAGTTTTAGAGAAATGGAAAAACAACGTCACAATTGACTTACCTCCCTTATATTCAGAAGATGGATCAAGCAAGCATGCATGACAAACACCGACGAACTTGATCATATGAACTTTACCAAACACTAGAACAAGAACGTTCATAGAGAAAAATGATAAATGAAGCAAAAATATCTTTTTTGCAAGTTTTTAATAATAGCAAAAATATCTTCTTTGCAAGTTTTTAATAATAGAAAAAGTAAAATTGACGCTTCAAAAGCCTTTTATATCATATCCGTCCATTAAGGACCACACGATCCACTCTGCACTACCAACAACTAAGATCTCTTATAAAAATTGTTAAAAAAATACTCAAGTCCTCTAAAGAAGAGGAAATATCATCACCAACTAACATAGGAGAACATGTCAATCACTCTTAATAATTTGTTGCCTATTATAAAAAAGACATTTAATACACTTATTTCCGAGAGCAACCATGTCCCATCAAACACTTCGACGCCAACAAATTTCATGACCAAGTAAAGATACATATGACAAATCTCACCTTGCAAAGTAGAAATAAGGGCTTAAGGGACAACTATTTCGGATCACTCATAAGACCCAGTGATAAAGGTCAATAGCAGAGTAATTTCTCTTATTTATAAAGGAAAGTGCACAATTTCTCAGATATTCAAATTCCTTCTCATCATAGTCATTTAAACGTTGAAGTGTTAATTTTACAAATTAATTTCCTCTCTCGCATTGAAAACTCCGAACTGCTGCATCGAATATGCATCTTTAGTTATCGATCAACTATGTATTCGATATATATATATATATATATATATATATATATATATATATATATATATATATATATATATATATATATATATATATATATATATATATATATATATATATATATATATATATATATATTGTTCTACAATGAATGACTAAACACACAATTTCACACATATTAAGAAAAATATAAAAAAATAAAAGAGAAAATAATATTTTTACTATTGTATCTTTAATATATACTCGTTCTGTCTCATATTATAAGAAAAATTCAATTTTTAAATTTATTGAATAATTAATGTATCTGGTCTACATATAGATCAAATACATAATCTAAAAAGTGAATTTCCCTTCTAATATGAAACAGAGGGAGTATCGTAAATGATGAAAATTTAATTAATTAAAAAATAAAATTAAAAAAGTATTATTAGAAATTAAAATAAATTATTTATTTCAAAATATTATTTTATTTTAAATGCATCAGTCGTTATGATAAAAAGTATTGAAGAATCTGTGTGGTGATAAGGACCCCCTAAAGTGTGTGTGCTGTAACTACTGCGTAGGTCCAATACCTCGTTCCTAGTTAGGCCTAGGCAGTGTCAGTAGCAGAGGCAGAAGGCAGAAAGAAACCATATTCATTTATTTATCAACTCTTTCTGTCCCTTCCCTAGCTATGGTATGGACGTGCAGTTCTGAAAAAGCATCTGACCAACTTCCAAAAGTATGAGAGATGAGTGTTGCCAACTTCGAGGATGCATTTTTGTAGCTTAAAGGGACAAAAGGGCAACTCCATTTCTCACTCTTTATTTCTTTTCAATCTCAGCCTTTTCTTCTGTTTTTTTTCTCTTTTATCTCTATAATAATAGTAATAAGAAAACTCTCTGTTCTAAGTTGTTCTTAGTCTCACATTTTCTAATAAATAAAATTTATGTGAATCTTATCATTTTATATAATATCAATTTTTAATTTTAAAAATTTACACTAATTTGATCCGTAGTTAAAATGAATACTAAAGGAAAAAAATTCTAAGACTCGTCATTGTATATAAGTACACAATAATTTTGACTTTTACAATATTTCATTCATTTATATAATTATTTTTTAAAATATATTATGGAACTTTTACTCCAATACTCATATTTCCTAAATCAAATCTTAAAACAATCAATTTTTTTTCATAAATCTCAAACATACATTCATGTTTAAATAAATAAAAACTACAAGAAATAATAACACATGCAATTGGCGGAAGTGTTTATTTTAAATAAGTCACGCCAAATCAATCGACGTATCATTTTTGTTAGAAGTATTTTATATTCAGAAATCTGAATTAGTCAGAAATTGTTGTTAGTCATAAACAATATTTTCTGAGGTTATTTGTTAAAAATTTATGTAAAAGTTGTGTTTAACCGTTAGCTTAGTTAATAAGTATTTTTTGTTGCCTATGTGGCGGTTTATCTTTGTGTATTTAAACAAGTTTGTAAGTAGTATCATAATGTAATTTTCAGTAATAAAGTTTCTTTCTCAACAAATTTGTTGTAACCGTTTTCTCTCTCTTATTCTATTTTCATCTTTAACTTTGTGC